ATGGTCCACATCATGGAAAATCACACAATCCCAGGCATTGTCTTTCATGGCCTCTTTGAAGCCCACATTGAAGAGCATGGCGCGGTTAAAAGGCTTTGTGCCAGTCTTGAGAAAGCACAGGAAAACAGAGATGGACAGAGATTTTGTTATCTTTTTTCTGTTGTGTGTGTTTAATGACTTTCTATTCATGTTCAAGTAACCACATCCAAAACAAAGTAATAAGCATATTTAAGATGTATAAATGCACTGGTAAAATTTACTGCATCATTTTATATCTTGTGATTTACAAGAAAGAAAGCACTGTTACTATCAATCAGTATCACAGAACCCTGGGAGTGAAGTAGGGTGCATGCTGGACTGGCGGTTTGAATCCACCAACTGCTCCTCAGGAGAAAGACAGTCTCCTCCCATGATGATTTACAGCCTTGGAAATTCATGGAGGGTCACCATGACTTGGAATCAACCAACAAAACTGTTCTGGGGGATTGTGTACCAGGGAGGGAGTCTTTCTTTTACTTTTGAAAGAGAGGAGCAAACTGGGGGGCGGGGGGGAGAGGGCTGGGCGGGGAGAGAAGTGCAGCAATGAATGAATGGAAATCCAGATTCTCTGTAAATGTTCATTAAAATTATTAAAATAAAATAAAATAGAAAAAAAAACTTCTGAAAGAAGTGCATTCAGATTTTCTCATAGACAGAAGAATGGTAAGATTTCATTTCCTATACTTAGGACATGTTATCACGAAGGACCAATTAATGGAAAAGGACACTGAGCTTGGCAGAGAGTCAGAAAAAAAAAAGGAAAAGAAAACAATGCTTGTTGACGTGAACTGGCACTACGGCTGCAGTGACTGTAAGAACAGAGAAGTACCAGACAATGTTTCGGTCTGTTGTCTGCAGTGTCACTGTAAGTCAGAACAGAACGACAGCTCCTCTAAAACTACAGGACTAATCGTCAGCAGACCCTGTACAGAAGCCTATCCAATACTGAGTTTCTGGGCTAGTTAGCAACTATCGTACAAAGACTCCTCAATCAAAAATTATCTATGCTCTTCTGCTGGTGTTTTGGGTTTTGTGGGTTGTTGGGGGGGTTTTTTTGTTTGTTTTATATTAAAAACTTATCTGTGACTTATCTATACTCAATTCAAGGGCCATAAACTGAACTTCTCTTTCAAAATGCGACACTCAGTAAAGCAGGTGACATGATTCTCAATCCCAGTAACTAAGACTGAGCTGCACTCCTCAGTGTCACTCATCAGTCCCGATGGCAGCAAAGTCGATGAGCTCGCAAACAGCCCACCTAATAAAATGAGCTGCTTCTTGATTAAATGAAACTTGACAGAAGTTCTCAAGAATAACAAAGATCATAAGTGCAATGAAAAACACAAAAAGGAACAGAAAAGGGGTATTTAATCTTACTAAAAGATAGTTAACATAGAGAACCTCTGATTATAACATACTCAGGTCATCACACTAAAACAATACAACACCACTATCAAGTCAATTCCTACTCATGGTGACTCTTGACTAGGTTTCCAAGAGTATATATTTTTTTTTCATTGTTGCACACTTCTTCCCCTCCACTCCAGCCTTCCCCACTGTACATCCTTTCCAGATTATTGTCATTCATATAGTGCATAATGATATATTCCTTTCCAACAGTTCTTTCCCTCATTTGAAATAATACAGTATTCATTATCTATCCAGTCTTTTCCCATTCTTTTCTCCATGCTCCCCATGTCTGTCCTTTTGTGACTGAGCATGATGTCCTCCAGGCACCCCCATGTTTTGTAATTTTTACAAGTTATTTTTCAATGCTGCATAATATTCCATTGTGTGAATGTACCATCACTTTTCTATTCGTTTGTTTGTTGATGGGCCAAGGATGAAAAGCTTAACATGAGAAAATAGCCCCATTCATGGTGTGGCTGGTGGGTTCCAAATGTCAACCTTTTAGTTAGCAGCACAACAGAAAACTAACTATAGCACTGTTGCCGTGGGTACTGTGAAGCTGACCCCCTAGAGCAGCTGGTGGATTCGAACTGTGTGCCTGGGTTTGGCAGTGCAAATTCTAACCACTAAGCCACCAGAGCTCCCTGACTGCAACACTAGGGCTTCAGAAACTGCACATAACTGTTTAATACCCAAGGCATGTTATTTCCTTTTTAAAATGGAGCAGAAAGAAAGATAAGTTCAATTTAAGATGTAATTCTACTAAAAAAAAAAAGGAAAATATTTGAATTTCTTGATTAATTTTAAGTTAGGAAATTCTAATCAAAGCTGTTTATTAACATTTCAACTATGCATTAACACTTTAAAAAAACATTCTAACCTGTTCAATGACGTAAAAGGCAAATTCCAGCCGCTGTTTCTGGAGCATTGGAATCAGGTGCAGGAAAAAAATTGGCAAATGTTCATGGCGATTACGGAAAGGGATGAGAACAGCCACCTTCAAAACAAAACAGCCACATATGTAAATATGCACTTCAACAAACCCTCTGGGTAAAGATGAAATTGATGTTTAGAACTTGATGATTTTAAAGACATTCTCTCATACACTGCTTCACCAAAGACAGAACAATGATCAAAATCAACTGTGGATCTTATTTTCATGCAGCTTATGGTCCAGTGAGCCTCGGAGACACTGATTTACAGAGCGCCCAAATACAGATGAACTTACAACCATGTTAAGTGCTACCCAAAACGTTACATGTTATGTCCAGATCAAAATGCTGGGAATACTAAGTGGTCTGAGGTTCAAGGCTACAAGCCAAGATGGAATCCAAGAGTAGAAATGAAGTTGTTGTTGCTGTTGTTGTTACGTGCCGTCGAGTTGCTTGTGACTCATAGCAACCCTATGCACAACAACCCTAAACTCTGCTCTGTCCTGTGCCAATCTCATTGTCTCTGACACACTCATCCCGACTACTTCAGTCACCAATCTCCTAGAGGGCCTTCCCCTTCTGTGTCTGCCCTCCACCCTCCCAAGCATGATGTCCCTCTCCAAGGACTGGTCTCTCCTTACAACATGACCAAAGTATGTCAGACGAAGCCTCAGAACCCTTGCTTCCAAGGAGCAGCCCGGTTTAACCCTTTCTGGGATGAATCTGTTTGTTTTCTTAGCAATCCATGGTACCCTCAATACTCTTCTCCAGCACCACAGCTCAAAGGCATCAATTCTCCTTCTATCCTCCCTATTCATTGCCCAACTCTCTGATGCATAACAAGTGATTGCAAAGACCATTGCCTGTATCAGAGGAACCTTAGTCTCCAGAGTGACACTGTTGCTCTTCAGTACTTTAGAGAGGTCCCTAACAGCAGACTTTCCCATTGCAATGTTGTTGTTGTTATGTGCCCGAGTCATTTGCCACACATAGCGACCCTATGCACAACAGCCCTAAACCCTGCTCTATCCTGTGCCAATCACACTGCCTCTGACACACCCATCCCAATTATCCCAGTCACTGAATCAATCCATCTCATAGAGGGTCTTCCCCTCTTGTGCCATTGCTCCACCCTCCCAAGCATGACGTCCCTCTCCAAGGACCTGTCCCTCCTTGCAATATGCCCAAAGTATGTCAGACGA